TGGAGGTGTGAAAGGAAATGAAGGAATACACACACATACATTATGCTAATATTAACATTCTTTTTTTGCCTGAAAAGACATTCTACTAGGTATAATATAAACTGTAGAATTGTCATTTTAAGATTCTTGCATTTCTGAATTCCCAAATTTTAACAGTCGCATAATGAAAATGAAATTGTAGTCACAAATTGTACAGTACTCTAAATGAAAACTGACTTCTCCAGTTTGGTCATGAATCCAACAGAGGAATACATTTAGGAATATTAGAATTTAATTAAGATGAGTTTGCAGCTATTCACTTATTTTATTTTAGTTTACTTCATTCATGAAAATATATCTGATGTAAGAAGAGATTCCCACACTGAAGTGGGGCTTGTAACTACTGCTTAAACAAAATCCAAAGGCCATCCATCCTGCCCTCTCAGAAGACCCCAGCATCTTCCCCATTATACAGAAAAGGTGGGAAGAAGAAAACCTATAATAGCTTTGCATTGCCTATAAATAGGTTCCACATTTAAAAGCAAAGTTACTTGCTTGAATTCTTGTGTCTCATTGCAACCTTGTTCCTAATGCTTCTTATTAAACTGAGCTCAGAGAGAATTGTTCCTTGGCTGTTCTTCTCCAGTCCTGATTGTTGCCAGAGAGATCTAACTTCTGCTCTCTACTGGGTACCACATTTCAAAGTACCTAGGTTAGAGTGAAGAATATAACATTTTAAACTCATTTGAAATGGGTAAACTGTATGTCTTTGAATTCAGATTTATAAAGTTTAAACTTCTAAAATTTTATGTAGAAATGGAAACGGAAAAGCATAGGGAATATAAGTCAACATTCCTGCTCTCCGTTCCCCATGCTTGGATTGATACCACCTTTGTTCCACATCAGCCTCAATAGGAATCAGTACCTGCCAGAGGTCTGGATCAAACAATAAAGCATGATTTGCTTGAAAACTTAAGTTAAAGCATATCCTCACTTACCATTTAAACTAACTGTGTCCTATGCTCAGGCCCATTTGGGAAATTTCTTTCCATACTGAGACCTTTTTGCAACACCTTGCAAAATACTTAGTCTGAACTTTAGTCTACCATGTCCTCTCATTGCACGATGCCCCTGTTGCTGTGTTGTCTCTCGCTTTCTGTTCCAGGAAAGCAATGGCCAATTGCTTTCCTTCCTGTGGGTTGCATTATATATGCACAAACTTAAATTGAATGTATACATTCAAACTTAAACATCAAAATGCACATATATGCAGGCACAACCAGCTTTTAAAATTCATTTCTTATTGCCCTGTTTCTTTCTAATGTCTTTTAGACCTATATTTACCATGAGTACTATAATACCAACCAATGCTATAACTCTTGCCTTGTAAATAGAAGGTTGTTGCCAACAGAAGAGAATATATGTAGCTCAGGGTTGAACCGTGTAGTCCTTGGGGTTCTCTGAGCTTGGTTGTTTTGTTGCAGACATTTCATTACCCAACTAGGTAACATCCATGAACACCAACTACCAGTCAGAAGACATGATGAAAACTTAATCTCACAACACATGAACAGACTTAACCATAGTTTCAACTGGGAAACTGTCAGCATCTTAGACCAAGCTAAATACAAAAATGCAAGAGAATTCCTGGAAACTTGGTACTTAGAGAAGTACAGACATTTCATTACCCAACTAGGTAACATCCATGAACACCAACTACCAGTCAGAAGACATGATGAAAACTTAATCTCACAACACATGAACAGACTTAACCATAGTTTCAACTGGGAAACTGTCAGCATCTTAGACCAAGCTAAATACAAAAATGCAAGAGAATTCCTGGAAACTTGGTACTTAGAGAAGTAAGCCATTAACAGGCACATAAAGATAAACAACATTTATACACTATTCAAAAGAGACAATAAAAAGGAAACGAAAAAACCAGAATACCTCCTCACCAGCAGTCAACACCCAGATAAACAGGGATTAACATCAGGATTAGCACCAAACAATCAAGCAGTAAATACCCTAATCTAGGAACTACCAAGGAAAAAACTACTCCATCAACATTGACAGGGCAAGCTACTGTATATAAACAGAGAGCAAACCCCACTCCATTATAGCACTGAAGATGTCACCTAGTTGGGTAATGAAATGTCTGCAAAAAAACAACCAAGCTTAGAGAACCCCAAGGACTCCACAGAAGGTTGTTGGCTTGCAGGCTTGCAGAAATGGTTTGGTTTTTTCCTACTTTTTTCCCCCTGAGTTTCCTACTTTTCCCTGTGCTTTTTTTTTTAAGTCCAGTAACAAACTATTTTACCATTTTTCGAGTCACTTAGAAACAATAGAAGGGTTTCACCCCAAGTTCCCAAATATCCCACAGATTATTTGGGGTGCTTAGAAGTTCGGGATGAAACCCTCCTACCTCAGATGACTGGTTATGCGGCACGCCACTGGACTTTTTTTAAAAGAAAAGAATAGAGAACATGATAAGCATTAACATGGTTGAAGGAATATTCCTTCCTCTGTAAAGTAGCCAACAACCTGCTGGGTTAGCCTGCAACAAACTGAAGTGTGCTATGAGAAATAGAAGGAGCTTCAAGGCAACATGACATAGAAAAGTGTGTTTCAGGATTTCAGCAGAAAAATGCACCCTCAGCTTGTTTTGATGGTAAGAGGGCAATGTCATCCATTTCTGCCCTCCAGAAACAGCTGCCTGCCTGTCCTGGGAACAGGACAGTGAATAATACCATGGTACAGCACAAATGTAATACTTTTGCAATTCTTCTCCCAAGCCCTCAAAGTCTCCTAAATCAAATTGCATTTCTAACTGAAAATCTAACTTTTAAAATAATAATTTTATTCATTTTTCAAATCAAATTCAGGACTCTAAGTTGTGTAATTTTTAAAATAGTCACCATTAGCTTCATTTGTGAAAAACTTTATGTTGTAGTAAAAGGCAACTTTCAAATGTATTTTGAAATAAAAAGAAATATGGGATTCTTCTGGATCGAAATGACTGAATTAGTCCTATGTTCCCTCGGAGATTTCCCTCCCAAGCTGGAAAGCGGGTTCTTGCAGAAGGCATCTTCCCAAACCCCCTTGGACTTCACAGGGTTTATCTTCTCAACTCCTTGCCAGCCACTGTTCTTATCATGGTTTTTATTTCCCATTTCAGAAATAGAGAGCTGGGCAGAGGGATGGCAAGAAAAGCTTTGAAGGATGGTCTCAGATTTATAAATGCTAAATCTAAATATCTCTCCCATTGCTTTTTTCAAACAGAGAGAGAATGCATGCATGCATCCATGAATGCAGAAATGCGAGTGTTAATCTTAATGCTATAACTTTCTGCTGACTAGATAAAGAAGTTACCGCTGCACTCGAATTCCAGCATACTCCAACAGAGCAGTAAAGATTGTTATCTGTAGGACTTTCTGTGTAAGAAATGTGTTGCTACCAAATGTATATGAGTTTGCTTCTTTGGAATCATGCTCCTATACATTGCAAAAAGCCATTCCTGAGCTTATTTAGGCTTCAGCACCAATGTGCCTCTAGCTTCAGAGCATAACAGATCATTCAGCTGGCATGAGAGCAGACAGTTCTGAAGTCATCATAACATCACTGCATCACAGGAGTAAAACCATATTGCACAGCCATCTTGTTTATCCTACCTTTGCAGCGACAGATTGAACTGCAGTCTCACTGAGCCACTTGGTTCAAGCTCTCACATTCCTGTGTCACGTGTTGTTGTCCAAGTTGCCAGGTTGAAGACCTTCTCATGAGGTCTTCTCAAGGGAAGCAATATTAATTTTCTTGCTTCATTTCTGCAGACTATAGAGTGGCTACTCCCAAATCCTAATAACAACTACTTTCAAGCTCTGGGCAGATTAGTAGTACAACAAATAAATAAATAATAAACTAATTAGTATCTTGGATGGGTTCTAGAATCTAAGCCTGTGATTCAGGATTTGGCATTTCAAATCATTCTAATATTATGGGCATAAACAATATAAATGTGAGCATGCATATAAAATGAGTTGTATTTGAAAGCTGGACTAAAGTACACTCTGCAGAAGATATAGAAAAAAAGATTGTCTGAGACGCAGAAAGACAACCTGAGCTTCACTTGGTCATCATGTGAGCTATATGCTCTGATCACTCCTGGAAATCAGTGAAAAATATATTCACAGCTAGAATAAAAGTCTTCCTTATGTGTTGCTACCATTGGTTAGTTTAGTTTATCCCTAAACTCTGCATAGAATTGAATGTAAAAATAGCTTTGAAATAGTGAAATAATTGCAACAAAATACCTGCAGTATAATTTAAATGTGTTCTTTGGTACTATCTTGATCCTTTTGCAAGGAAACTGTCGATTAAGGGAAGAGAAAGAATAGCTCTATTACTTAGCAAACAAAGAGAATGTAACTGGTTTGCATAACACTTAAAATTTCCTTACCTTCTTTCGACTTGTATTCAGAGTCTATACTGGCAAAGACCATAAACATAAAGGGAAAACCTCACATTACTGTTAAAATAAACAGGAATAACTTGCTGTCTTAGGCTTCTACTTGGCCTGGGAAACCTTCCTTGCTACTGTTGCATCTACTGAGCATTACTCTCCATGGTTTTGCCATGGACGTGAGGAGCCGTATCTGAAGACATGTATCTTGGTAACAAATTATCACCAAGCTCCAACCTTAGATGGCCAAAGATTGTGGGTAAGTGCAGGAATGAAGGTGTAAAAATCAGCTTTCTCCCTCAACTTCCTTCTAACCTTTTTGTTTTGCAAGCCATTCTATGAAAATGTGTTCCTTGGAGCAAACTCACAGTCACAGTCTTTGGTTTCTTTGGACTTATAAACAATGCTTTTCAAAGAGTTAAGTATAAACCTGCTTTCTTTAGGTCCTATTCATCTTTTTTAATAATAATAATAATTTATTAAATGTACATGCCGCCCAACTCCCAGAAACTCTGGGCGGTTTTAAAGCTCTTCCACCAAGACTAAATCTGCAGCCATTCCTTTAAGCTTTGGTACAAGTGCTAGAAGAAGAGGATGAACTGCCAGAATTGGAGCTGCCCTCATCCTGCCATTTATCCAAGCTTCGCCGCCGCGCATTCATGAAGAAGTTGCTGACAGTGCTCAGCTCTAGCCCCAGCTGATGGGAAATGGTGATCTGTAATTCTTTGGAAGGACGCTTATTTTCCTTGAATATTGCATGGAGAGTTCGGCGCTGGACGTCTGTAAAGACCAGTCTGGGTTTTTTGAGCGTGTTTCCTCTGTCTTTCCCTTGATCTTGCTCTTTCCGTTTGCAAGCTGCAATATTATGAAGAAATTAATTACTTTCAGACTTGGGGTGAATAAAGTTGTGTTATTAGAGATTTTTCATAAAATTTATTGCCTACTAAAAGGGTTTTAATGAAGACAGACTGCATTTTTAAAATAGAATATTTACAATGCAGCCTTACAGATATCTGCTCAGAAAAACCATTTGAGTTCAAAGGAATTCATTCCCAGCCAGATATGCATATACAGGATTGCATCCTTTTTGAAAGTACACACCTAGGCTGAAACCCTATAGTACCAGGACAGTGGATCCCAAACTCCTGGGTAGCTGGATTTTTCCCCTTGATATTCAAGGGAACTTTTCATTTTCAGATGGTAAAATTTGATATTTGGGGGGAGAAAACTTCCATCCCCTCTGTTAATCTCCAAGTTTAGTCTTCCAAATGTTGAAACTTCTGCTACCAGGAAAAGTAGTTCTACACTGAGTTATGGCAGGGCACAAAACCCTGAGGGTTTGGGATTTTAGGCAAGGTTGAGCAAAGTGTTGCATCAAGTTTCATGTTGCAAGCTACCTTGACTTACAGAAACATCAAGACATGGAATGAATTCAATAATAAACAAATAAACAAACAAACAAATAACTGACTTAATATTTCTCAAAAATTATTTTAAAAATACTTGATCTGTTCTTATGAGATAAATCTGTGTGTGTGTGCGTGCGCGCGTGCATGTGCGTGTGCGTTCCCATTCAACAGGGAGCTTAATTCATACCAAACTAAGTTTATTGTTCTAAGGTAGAGGAATGATTCACAGTACAGTAGAAATGCAAATGAAGATCCTTTCCGTTCTATATAGATGCTGGTTGCAGAGAATGATGAGGGGATAAGGTTGGTAAAGAATAAGGTAAAAAGGGTTGTGATTTTCAGCCAACAACCTGCTGAAACCCAGAGATTACATCCTCTCCTGGAGGATTCCCTGGGCTTTAATCCCTGCAGGGAACTCTGGGATCTCTTGCTTGATCAGGTGGCACCAGGTTTGACTAATTTCCATGGATTCATTAGATTGCAATCATTTAATATTTCTATTATTACTTCAGTAATTCCAAGGACTAAAATATTAGGAGTATTTCAATTGTGTGTTTTTTTTGTTTTTATTTGACTTGTCCCCTCCCATCTCCCCACAAATGTTTACTAATACCAATATTTCTAATCAACCTACATCCAAGTGAGAGCATGCTGGTAAGCCCCTGGAGTTTTCCCATCACTTCTCAGCTGCCCCCCACTGCAGTTTCTGCCTTTCTTCCCACAGCTTGCTACAGAGAAGAAAAACCTGAATTAGCCCTCAGGTATTTCAAGGGTGGGCTGGTTGGAGGCAAGAATGGAGGACTGACGTGCTAGGGACACTTTGGATCCCCCCTTTCCAACTCTTCTGAACATTTTCTGGCCTTAAAGAAAGGTCAGGTCTCTTTTTCCAAAGTCAGAACCAAAACCATCAACAGGGGGAGAAAACCTGTTCTCTGACTCCCAGGATGCTCTAACAAGCATTACAGGATTGCAACCTCTTTGAATTGAGACTGCATCAATATTTAAATCCTGCTGACTGCATGTAGTACATTTCCGGCTCTCTTACATTTCGTCTCTTGCCTCATTTCACTGCAGGTCCTGCCAGGCCTTCTCCTGACCCCAGGTGAGATGCCTCCAAGGCTCTGCATGACAGAGGAGGTGCAGGGAGGTCATGCTTTGGTGTGGGTTGTGTCCCAATCCCACAACTCAAACTGAAGAATGTACGTTTTACATCTGTGTCAGCTCATTAGGAGAGAAGAGCATGTCAACAGACAAGCACAACCATCTCTATTTTTAAGGGCAGGTTTATATCCTACAGAAAAAGGCAAGAATTCTCTATTCCTGATAGTGGCAACAAAACTGAGTGGCAAATGCTGAAAACCATATTCATGCCCACATTCTCTTGAAACACTTGTACAGACTTCATGCCTCCTCTTAAAAGACAAATGCCATTTCATGGGGATGAATGACAGGGGACTTGATTATGCTGAAACTGCATGTCTGTCGCTGGAGTACACAGATCACCTCTGAGATGAATCATCAGTCTGATCTAATGTGAATTCTTTAAGAAAATCCAAATCAATTTTGTTTGATTTCCTAAATTAATTTTTTAAAAAGGTTCTAATCAATAGCCATCCCCACATTTTAAAAAAGGGAAATGTGAATTCAATTCCATTTTTTGACACAGGTGTATCTACATGCCAATACAATTAATCGCAATGATAGGGACACCATGTCCCTAGCCTGAACATAACCCCAATATGAATGTACGGTATTGATGTATAATACTTCTCATCTTTCGGTACAATTAAGTGAAGCAACTACCATTCGGTTGAATAGAGTTGGCTCCAGTTTTCCACATTACCTGCACCCACTAGATGGCGCCTCATTTCTGATAAAGAGAGAAAGTAGCTGCCAGTGAACTGAGGCTGAAGACCTCAGGACTCAAAAGCCACTTTCTGTGTACCTCAATCTCCACAGTGTTATTTATAAACAGAGATAAAAATCACACTGCTCCATGCTAGTGAAGTGGCCACAGTGTTAATGCCAGAAAAGCAGGAAATGATAAACATTTCTCCAACAAGCAGGTTTATTTTGCTTAGAAGCAAGGGCAAGGTGGTTATTGGCCATAGCAATAGCTGGCACCTCTGGCTACCTCTGCTGCTTAAATGCAGCAGCCATGATCTTACAGCAGAGCCAACAAAGGCACTAGCTACAAGCCATTAAATCCTCTGGAAGAAGACACTACGTGTGAATAGAGCCCTCTCCTGAGCAAGTCATTCCTCTGGAGGCAGCCTGTTCATTAGAACACCCCACATCTACATCTGTGCACTTGTATCCACAAATGCCGGTGCTATCTTGGGTCAGTGAGGCTTTAGCCTTGCCTTTTATCTCAGGCATGGGTGTCTCAGCCTCACAGCAGAATACATCTGATTCTGTACTTCCTAAGGGGCCCTGGAATTCACCTTTATTCTCCAAGGATCTCCAGAGGATGGGCAGACATCACCTTAAGCATTTGTAGAGACCAATATCAAACCATCTCTGGCATATTAATACCCACAGTATTTGAACATCTTCAGTGATGAATTCCTATAGAAGTGGCTTCTTCTAAAAGAAAAAGAAGAAAGGCTAAGTGAAACTAAGACTAGCTCTTTAAATCTGTAATTGTATTATGAGACAAACAGCTCAAAGGAAAACAGCTCAGTTCTGGTCAAATCTACTGAAATAAAGTTATTGGATGCTCCGCCATACTTTAGAAGAAATCAGGAAAGGTTTCTTTCATGAATGGCTCTTACCTAACAATAAACTAGACCATGAAGCCTTCAGCAATATGCTACTTTCCACTGACAGACAGATGATAGATAATAATAGAGATAGATAATGATAGATGATAGATATAGATATCTATATTATCAATATTTTTCTCTATTGAAGTCAGTGGAACAGTGTGAGTGTATGGGGAAATTCTCAGAATTGTTACCTTAAATGAAAAATATTGATCCATCTGGTATTTCCAAATATGGGCCATGTTTGTGGTCCTGCCATTGAGGAAGACCAGGTAGTTCCCTGGTAGATCTTGTCTAGGCTTGGAAACTAAACAGGTTGGGCCTGGTTAGTACTTAGAAGGACACTATCCGGAATTCCCAAGACTGTTTGCTGACCCATGAAAAAAGAAGAATCCCACAAGAAGGCAATGGCAAATTACTCTGTATCATTGCCAACTATGATAGACATAGATATATAGATATAGATATAGATATCTATATTATCAATATTTTTCTCTATTGAAGTCAGTGGAAGTGTGAGTGTATGGGGAAATTCTCAGAATTATTACCTTAAATGAAAAATATTGATCCATCTGGTATTTCCAAATATGGGCCATGTTTGTGGTCCTGCCATTGAGGAAGACCAGGTAGTTCCCATGCCCACAACAATCTACTTTTCATCATTGGACATTTGAAGAGAAGAAAAAAATAGACTGTAAAATGTTAACAGTGTGGCTCAGTTCCAGCATCTTTGCATCCTTGGCCTTATTTTCAATCCTAATCCTTTCCAATAACTAGAGAAACAGCTTTGCATGGCTTGCAGTTGTATTCCACTTATGAGTGAGGAAGACCTCTGCAACCAAACATTCAGAACCTGTATGCATCTCAGAGATAGCTCATATGCTGGTGGGTAAAGAGGCTAGTGTGGCAGTTGAATGTGCAAGTGCAGGCTACTAATCCTTGAGTAGCTGGGGAAAACATCAAATAAAATCTCATTTGTTTCAAGCTCAGCTCCTGACCTTGCAGTCTTCTTGGCAATAATACAGAGTAATTTGTGCAACTAGCTAGATCCTGCAGAACTGGGGAAGTAAACAGCTGACTTCTAGGCAATGGT